TAATTGATTTCAGCATGATCGACAAAAATAAGATCTCCGAACGACGCGGCACGAAGGCCTGCGATTCTGGCTCGCGGCGGTGCCGGAACTGTTGTTCCGCAAACCCTGCATGACTTGACGATGCGGTCGTACTTTTCGTAAATCTCTTCAGGAAGGCCTAACATGGACGTACGCCTACGAAACTGCGCGGAACTCATGTGGTAATGCTTCACATGCAACTTGTACAGCTCCACATCACTTCGCAGCTTTTCAATCATGCGTCGAAAGGCCGGAGAAGAGCGGGCAACTTCTTGCCCGGGAAGAGGTAGCGCTATACGCCTAGGTTCTGGATCGAAGCGCTCCTCAGGCGCATTGTCTTCTTTAGACTCTGGAGACGGCTCTGGCTGCTCCACTGGAGCTTCAGAAGGAGAGTACTGATCATCCCATTTAGTTGTCTCGACACCCTTACCCTTCAGCTCTGGAAATGGGTCTTCGTCCTCATCTCCAAAGAGCTCTCCTGGAGAGAAAGGTAAAGGTGCCTCTTCTGGGGAAGAGCTGCCTTCTTTTCGCAAGGATCCCTCTCCTAAAGGAGAGCCTTCCTTTCTTGAAGGATGTGGCATTAAGCCAGAATCTGGCTTTTTGCCTGTAATTTTCTTCCTAGCAGGTGCCTTGACGACTTCGTCATCAGGCTTTCCTCTGCGCCCGGGGCCTTTTCCCCGAGTACTCACCTTCACAGAGGTGCGATTCTCTATGCCACCTGGCAGAATCTTGAAAACGGTTCTACCTAACCACGGCTTAGGAAACTTGACGGGAGGCTTGTCCTTCCATTCATCATTCTGCGTTTCCTTCATGCCATCCTTGTAGTTGATGGTGGTCTCCCGAATCGTGTCGAGGTACTCGAATGGTATGGGAGTATTCCCTTTCGATGGCGCAAAGGACTGAACTCGCTCCTTGCGGTGAACTCGGATTAGACGATGGTTGCCTTCGTCCAAGTGCCATTCGTCCTCCACAACCAAGGCTTCTGAGGGTTCCTCCCCTGGAGGGGAGCATTCCTTCGTGACCAACTTGTAGCCATACTCGAAGTGGTGCTCGTTCGTCATGAAGAAACTCACCTTCTTGTGTGCATCGAAACGAACTCCCCACATATGCCAGGCTACATCTATAAGATCGAGCATCAAGTGTGAGCTTCGAGCAACCTTCAAAGGAAGGTTCTTCATGCCCAGAACTGAACTTGACAGAAGGGCTTCGTCAGGCTCTAACGAGATCTTGAAGCGAAGGTTCCTCATCTGAGGTAACGACATCAAGAAGGGAACTGTGCCCTGATCAACGACGTCAAATTCGGTCGACTGAATCGTGTAGGAAAGATCGTACATGCAGATCACAATCTTTTCCTTGCACTGGGCCATCTCGCTGTTGGCAAAAGAGAAATGACTGTTTGTAGGTCGTAACTCGTACCACAAACCACAGTCTGGATGATGGTCCACGAAACCCATGAACTCTTTCGCTGCTTGTCTCGAGGTCATAGCCCGTGTGCAACCGATGTCCAAAACCATAGAGGTAGGGGACAAAGCATGTGTCAAAAAAGACTTGGGAACATCTTCTTCGTTGGAGTCCTGCTTGTAAACCGCTTCGGACACAAAACTGTGGTGCTGCACCCAAAAGGCGTTAGCTATGGCCGGAGTACCTGGGCCTGCCAAGGCAGCAGTCCTCTGGGCTTCCGAGGTGGCATTGGCATGGTCGCCCTTGCCGTCCTTTCCTTTCTTGTCCTTTCCCTTGAAGAACTTGCCCTTGCCTTTGCCCTTTCCTTTCCGACCTTTGGCTGCATAGGAGTCGTCAGCTCCTTCCTGCCAATCAGTTTCTGTCCAGGCTTCATAGCTCCAATCATGCCATTCTTCGTTCCATGCCCAGTCGCTAGCGCTGACGTCTTCGGCGGCATGGGCCTTCCCTTTCTTGCGTTTGAAAAAGCGTCGGCCACCATGGCCCTTGCCTTTTCCTTTCCGGCCCTTGCCCTTTCCTTTTCCACGTCGCAACTTACGACCTTGGAACTTCCGCTGAAACCACGTGTAAGACTCATCGTCGTAGACCCAGAAGCAATCCTCAAAGGCGTCCAGGAAGCCTTCTGCGCCATCATCCTCGTCCTCGCACCAGTAGCCTTGGCTCTCATCGAGGGTACCTTCATCGATGACGATAAAACTTTTTCTTCCTGGAGCACTTGTGGGTGCTAGAAGAGGGTTGTCTACTGTGGTCTTCGTGGTGCAAAACACTTCCAAATACACTGTTCTCAGCTCATCCACTCTGTAATCTGTGAGTGCCCTGTTCTTGTGCGCCATAAGAGAAGTAAGAACTTGTCTTTGGTCTTGGGTAAGGTCTGACAGGGTCACGAACAGCAGGGCCATGAGGTTCGCTGTGATGGGTAGTGCTCTTCCATGTGTTTCTCTCCCTTGTTCGTTGACTCGGCGAAGTGCTTCTTCGGGAGTGATTGCCTGTTGTTCTTCTTGAGGTAGTCGTAGAACATAGGCTCTCACCACGGGGTCGTTTTCACTCACTAGGGGAACAAAAGTGTCCATCCATGACTCGTTCATGCGCTGGTAGGACAGCTGGAATCTTGTCATCCACCTCAGCATATCACCACTACCACGATGCATGTTCATGAACTGCTGGAATCTGTAGAGGAAAACGTTCGCTGCACCCTTCACGAAGTAAGGCCTAAGGAAGCGCTTGAAGTACCTGACTCCATCTTCCTTGTTCTTCAAAGCTTCTCGATCAAGCAATCTCTTGTAGATAGCAGCTTCACCTTCAAGTCTGTTTCTCAATGCGGGTCCTCTCTTCTCTGGTTCAAGTTCTGTGAATTCACACCAGTCGTCTACGGCATCTTCGAAAGCAAACCAGCTACTTCTACCATCATAAGATGGGGGAACCTTGGTGGTCACCTGCTGAAAGGCAGAAAGACGCTGAAGCTCTTCCAGTGACCTGTTCCCTGCAGCTAAGGCTTCTCCGTCTGGTTCTTCGTAGTCGTCGAACTGGTCGTACGAGTGACTTGCCATGGCTCTACGATTGGGCTCGGATCGGCTTCCGGTTTTCGAGCTTCTGGCTGCCTCTGTCCGAACAGAGCGTGCCAAGGATTACCCTGGACACCTCTGTTGGTACAGAGCACTCCAGGTAATTCCCGGAAGCTCCGCTACCACGTTGAGATGAAACCTGAGCGTTACCAGCCTCCGGCTCGGTACAGCTGGCAAGGCACGCAGGTGTCTCTTTTGGCTCTGCTGGCTAAGTGTATCACTCTGATCCAGAACCTCGGGCACAGGCCACTGCATGCCATGATGACTGAACCCTGTGGCACACCTGTCTCTATTTCACCCCTCCCCCCACCCCCCCCCCTACCCCCCTGCCTAGCCCCCTCCCTTAAAAGCAACCAAATTTGTTGTTTTGGAAGTTTTGTGTTGGCTGCCCCCTACTACCCCCCCCGCCTCCCCCCGGAGGGGGGGGGTTACGGGGTGAGGGTAGGGGGGAGGGGGCCGCGTCGTTCCGCCCGCTTGGCCGCCTTCCACCCCCCTGCCTAGCCCCCCCCACACCAAAAGCAACCTTTGTTGTTTTGGAAGGCGCCCAGTGGGTGGAACCACGCGTTTTGTGTTGGCTGCACCCTACTACCCCCCCCCCCCCTCCCCCCCTACCCTCCTCCGTACCCCCCCTCTCCCCCCCTTCTTACCCCCTGCCAAGCCCCCCCCACAGGGAAAAGGACCAAAAGCAACCGAACCACGCGTTTTTGTGGCTGCACCCAACTACCCCCCCCTCCCCCTACCCTCACCCGTACCCCCCCGCCTCCCCCCCTCTCTACCCCCCTGCCTAGCCCCCCCCAACAGGAGAAGGACCAAAAGCAACCGAATTTGTTGTTAAGCGGGTGGGTCCGGAAGAGGGCCCGGTGCCCGGACGTCCTTATCTTGGGGGTCGGCGGCAGCGGCGTCAGCCTTTAAATCGGGCAGCGCGAGGTCCCCAAAGGACCGAGCAAATGCGGACCTTTTAGCCCGGGTCGTCCCGGGAATAACCTTGCTGGCCTCTGGCCTTCTGCGAAGCAGAATTAGGCCGGACGCCAGTGCCGCCGACCCCCGCGTGCCGCCGGTGAACGGTTTTTTTTTTCGTGGTTTTTTGCGTCGCCACGGAGGCCCCCAGAGGGCGCGCATCATGAGCATCAGCGGGTCCAGCCCGGGACCCCCAGGCGCGCATCAGGAGCATCAGCGGCTCCCGGGGCGGGACCCCGGGGGCGCATCAGGAGCATGATGCCCCCCAAAGGGCGGGCATAAGCGACGTGTCTAAGCCCGGGCTAGGAAAAAGGGAGTTTAGGGGCCTTATAAAGTGCTTAGAAACGTTAAGGGAGTCTAGGAGCCTCAAACGCTTAGAGATTTGAAGGGAGTTTAGGGGCCTGAAAAAGCTTAGAAACTTAACGCTTAGAGATTTTAAGGGAGTTTAGGGGCCTCAACATGCTTAGAAATTGCTCGCCCCGGGCTTCTGCGTGCGCTGCCCGCCCATGGGCGCAGCCCCTTAAAATAACTGTAAAGGCGGGAATGGTAGCAGACGTGGTAACCACCGCCGTCGCGGTCGTCTTCGTTTGCATCCATTGCTGTTAAAACGGAAGGGTTGGCGTTGGCTTGATATTGCTATTGTTGATAATGACCGTGCGAATAAATCAAGATGCCAATATCGAAATAACAGAGCCTAGCATCATGAAAATGAAAAAGTAGTGGTCGTAATAACAAAGGCAACCGGAAGATAACAGAAATAGACATATTCACACTCATGGTCTCATGGCCAGATACTGGGGCAGTTGCAGAAGTGGTGGTCATCGCACAAAAAAAATGCATAGCGCGAAAAGTGGTAATAATGGCAGTAGTATTGATGATCCTAAGCTGGTCTTCCATGAGACCGCATGCATCAGAAACAGCAACGGGGGGCAAAGTCTCCCCCGCCGGTAAGATACCTGTTCACGATAAAACTATACCGCAGCTCTGCCATGCAAGCTTGGAAGCTCAGCGTCAGAGCGGACGATGATGCCGTGTGTAGACAGCAGTTGCTTCGCCGCACAACGGATTACCTGCCCGTTCGAGCTGTAAAGCCGTCATGCAAAGTGAAATGTTCCGCTTCCACCTTTGCCGCGCAAACGAGTCGTGTGGAACCAACTGACTAGGCCCAAGGCGATTGGGACAAATCTCAGAAACATTCAGAGACAGTTCTCAAAAGAGTTCGCGACTGCTGGGCATAATGCTGGGCTGATGCTGGCCATCCCTGAAGGCCTTTGCTTCAGCTCGAAGTTCCGGGCTTGCAAACTCGAAGGCCTCGCAAGCACATTGTCGTTCGTGTGCTGGGGCCAATTGCAAGGCTTGCAGATGAGAAGTCAAGGGTGCCTTGAAGCTTGCAGACACTGCGTCGATCACAGTGCCCAGATCTGACCGAAGCTCCGGCCTGACAAAGGTGGCTAGGTCCGGCATTTTTAATTGGGTCCCTCTGTACCAGATCCAAGAAGCCAGAGGGCTTTTTTTTTCTCCTTATGTTTTTCCAGCTTTTATCCTTATTGCTTTTCCGCTTTCTTGTCGGGGACCTCTTGGCTTCCCTGCTCTCTAGGAAAAAAGCTACATTCCTTCAAAATTTTCATAGGATACATACTACTTTTCGTAGGATTTCTTCTTATCTAAGGATGGATTTCAACAAGATTCATAGGTTTTAAGCACGCTTTGCACGGCTTAAATACAGCCGGCTTAAATAAAGCGGGGGGGGGTTGGGGCGGGGGCGCAACCCCCCCCCCCCCCCCATTGAGTAATGTGTTTTTTGGTTCGTTTCTTGGTTTTTCGATGGGTTTCAGCCAGTTTCCTAGGCTTTGAAGCATGCTTTGCACGGCTTACAAGAAGGACTGCAATGCTCACACGATGGGTTTCAACAAGATGCATAGGCTTCGAAGTTCGAAGCACGCTTTGCACGGCTAAAAAAAACGGGGTGTTGGGGAAGCGGGGTTTGGGGGGGGGGGGGGGGAGGCCATTTGCAACACAATGCTGACACCCTTCCTTCCTTCCTTGCTTGCTTTCTTGGCTTGCTGGCTCGCTTGCTTGCTTGCCTGCGTGCTTGCTTGCGTGCGGGCAAAAAACACCGCCACCGAAGCCAGACGGACGAACAAGACTGCCCCTTGTTGACAAGGAGCGAGGCGTGCTGCAAAGATTGGGCATGCTGGCGGGCCGCGAGCACAACCACCTGACAAAGACGGTAAGATTGGATTTCCGGCTTTCAAAAGAGAGCACGCAGCAGATGACACATCAGTGCTCATTCGCCTCGCGCGAGTTGCGCAAACGCGCCGACACATGCTTCAGGGCCTGGCCTGCATGACAGCAATGCTTGCATCACGCAACAGAAATCGAGGCGCCTACGTTCACAATTGAACGACAAGCATGTCGTTTAACAACGGAGCAGGCCTGAAACCTGTACAGCTCGACTGACTATGTCTATGTCATCCTTCAGTGCCTCAGTTGCAAACCTCAGTGTGCACCAGAAGATCAGGGGGGTCGGACACTGACATGCGCAAGCAGTGCGCAAGGCATCTGCAACGCCTAACAAATAATGCCGTCCCTGCTGGAATGATGAACCAACAGTGTAGGCGAGCGGCATAATTGCACAACCGTCCTGGCTCACGGACTCCAAGACAATCTTGCGAAGCGCTTTGAGCCTCCCGTCCACACATCACTGAGAACAGGCTTCGGCACGTTGCACGCCGCCACTCACAGAGGCCTGGTGGAGGCAAACTCCAGGGCTAGGCCCGTGCAGCGCACGGCATTTTGCACAACCTGCAATTGAGCGCACGCCACGCAACGATCCAAAGTACCTTCTGGGTAACCGTTTTTGGCAACTGCCTCCTCATCATCCCTCAGCTCCCACGCAGCGTGCTCGAGGGCGAGGCCACTGTTCCCAACTGCGCGGAGAACCTGTCAGTTCTCTGTCAGTCTCCGGACAGCGGACTGCCCAAGGCCACCGTGTGGCTGGCTTTGTTTCCTACTGCCGACATCTGCCGACAACCAGAATGCTTTGTGGAACCGCCCTAGCATCGCAGATCTGCGGTGCTGCCCAGACACAATGTCCTTGTTGGCTTTGAGCTCAGGAGCTACGAACCTTAGCCAGCAAGTGACCAACAAATCACGATGCTACAAAGACCCTCTCGTGCAGCAAACTGACGGATCGATCGACACATCTTCAATCAAGCACGCGGCCGCAGCGCACTGCCAGACTGCATGACGCAGGCCTTGACCAACTCCAAATCCTCTTGAGGCACAGCACTTCTCGGCTGCTTCTTCGAGCACGATCGCAGTAGCGATCGGAGCTTCAAACATCTATGTTCCTGCTGCCAAATTGGCCTGGACGCCTGATTGTGCAGGCTAGTCCTGCTGCAACTCGGGGGCAGCCATCTGCAAAATGGCTCCACTCCTTCACATGCGTGCTGCAGCTAGTGAAGTGCGCTTCTACCGCAGCTTGCCCGCAGACAGGGCCTTCGTGCAGCAATTAGCAAGAATTCGCGGTCATGCAAGACCTCACAGCAGCGATCAAGCGACAAGCAGCCACACTTCCAGATGTACATGACTCTATCAGGTGCTGCGAAGCGACCCGCGGCGCGACATCAGCCAGCACCAGGGGGTCTACGCGAGGGTTTCCTGATGGCAGGAATCCGTCTGAGAAACTGAAAGGGCACAGCACAGCACTGATCCAGCCTTCAACAATTCATCAACACGATCATCAACACACAGACACCGCTCTCATCAGAACATGTGCTCCACGATACTCTTTTCAAGGAAGCAAGGGAGGGAGAGAGGGAGGGAGAGAGGGAGGAAGGAAGGGAGGAAGGGAGGAGTGAATATTGAGGACCTTGTGAGGGTACCGGGACCGACGGATGGACCCTCGGCCTGCCAGCATCTTTGCCAAGTCCAGCTTGGCCTGGATCTGCTCCCTCGCCCCATACAGCCTTAACAAGTCTTTTTCGAAGGCCAATTCTGGAAAGAGAAAAAGACCCGAGAGAGAGAGAGAGAGAGAGAGACCGAGAACTGAATAGACGGGAATAGGACAAGCAGTCTTCGAACCTCCTTGCGTGAGTTTCTCTGAGTGACAGTATGGGAGTGTGGACCTCCGCGGCAGGGTTGTTGATCTCCAAGGCCATCAAGAGAAAGGTCTCGTCCTCTCAGTGTGCATTCAGCCCCTTGCCGAAAGCCAAGTTGTGTCTCTCTGTCTCGAAGCTTCGCCATCAACACGTATGGAACCACAGGGTCAGGCCTCCTGCAGCCATTGGCCTCAAGGGTCAACAGATCTTGTGTCGGGGTGGGGGGGGGGGGGGTTAAGCACTCGGCCCTATACGCCATAAATCTAACATTTGAGCTGCTGAGAATGAATTGCAAGCAACACCATGCCGCCAAGGGACAAACTTCACTCCGCCACACGCCAGGATGCGTAAAGGGGCATCGCTCGTGAAGAAGGTGTACTCGCAAACCTTAGACACCGCACATGGTTGCGCAAATGCACTTTCACTTGCGAATTTCTTGGCTGAAGCTGAGAGGCGATGAAAGGCATATCTGTGCGCATCATTCATCATGTGCCTGGGAAGATCTGAGGGAATTCCTGCAGCACTCCTCTTCTGGTAAGTATCTGCAAATGTGCCAACAGCGTAATTAGACCCAACTATACCCAACTCCACTGGCCGTCTAAATCGCCCCGTCCGTCAACCGAATACCGTAGACTCGTGGACCCCTGTCACGGGGCACGTGTGGCCTTGCAACTCAAGCTGCTCTTGAAGCACGTGTCTGAAACGGGAGAGGCGGTTGAAATCGCAGAGCTCCTGTAGATCTCTGGCCACGCCTGCAGCATGGATACCGCGACTTTCATACAATTTCATACTCATTTCTCAAAATCAACGAACAGTTCCGGGCGCAAGATCGCATCTGCAATCTGGACCGTAAGTGTCCTACGGGTACATGCATGTGTGTGTGTGTGTGTGCGTGCTGCCATGCGACTGTCATGTTGCCCGTCCGTATTGTAGTCGGTAGATACCGTGCTCTTTAACTTTGGGCGTCGTTCCTGCAAGTTCTCAGGCTTTTTCGGAAGAAAACTCAGCGAAGCTGTACTGTTTAGGGGACTAGGATCTACGACACACCTTAGCCAAGCGTTGCCAAGAGCTCTGTGAGCGGCTGTCTGCTCTACATACTAACGCATTCCAACCTGGAGCTCTCTGACGTGCTTGGAACGAGACTACAAGAAGTTCACCTCCCTCAGGGCCGACCAAAAAACACAGACGGGCAAAGCCCGCAAAACAAGTACGTGTCGCACAGGCTTGTCATAACTGCTGCCGCAAGCTTCTCACACTACGCAGGAAAGCGGGGACAATGGTGCACAAGCTGCCTGAAAAAAGTCCAGCGCGCGCTGACTCATCGCCCCGCTCCAGCATGTCTAGCCACTCTGCCTGGCATGGCTAGCGGCAGAGGAATTGAGTGACACATAGTGGCACGATCTTCACTCTTCACTCCAGCCTGAAACCCAACCTCAAGATACCTCAAGACTGTGACCGTGCATGTCTAGAACTCGACGTTGAGGCACCTGCGCCTCGCTACACCGTCTGAGAACGGTCACGTCGATGCCATCACAGTAGAACACCTCCGGCGCCACTTCGGACCTTTGCTTTGTGGGTGTCAAATGGCGTCTCGAATGCGCTGTTACTCTGGGGCATCTTGGGCCCCATCCGCCCCATCCGCCCCATCGAGCCGAATCCAGCCCATGGGCCATGGGGCTTGCCGAGAAGCGACAGGTCAAACAGCGTTCCTGTGTGCGGACGAGACGCAGGAGCTGGTGATCCACGCAGCCTGGGTGGAACAGTGTGGAACAACAAAAGGTGAGAGGAGCACCATGAAACATCGCATCCACAGAATCAAATTGTCACATCCGAGTTGCTGCCCAGAGCCCGGCCACAAATTGACAGCATTTGAGCGCGCTGTGAAACTCCAGACACCTCCTGTGCAGCCGAAGTGTGGCAGACTGTGGCAGACACTCGGATCCTTGTGGGTCTTGGAGGCACGGCATGGCAAAGCATGGCACAGCTGACAAAGCTGCTCGGCCACTGTGCCTGAATCTTCCGCCGCAGCTTTGCTACTGTGGTGGCACCATCGACAACGATGCCTGCACAGAGCCATAATTTCATGCATTTGCTGCGCCTGTCATAGCAAGTCTGCCGTTGCAAGATCAACAAGCCGGGCCGCTCTTGGATTCTGCACTGAGTCCAACATTTACTCGGAGCATCCTTTCCATTGCCTCAGCTTTGCAATTCTCAGGCTTTTACAGGCGCTACAGCATGACGAGGCTGCTACAACAGAATTATCTGTCTTGCATCTCCTACGCAGTCAGCACCACCAGCGAATCTTAAGTCTTTGGACTTGGCTTTCCTTGCACTTATTTCGCCGAGGCGCGGGGGCGTCTGACAGTGCGGTGCGCCGCGGTTCGAGCGATCGAGCCTTTCTAATTACTAATTAGATGCAGCTGCTACACCATGGTGCACATAGGTTGCCCATGATACGACAATAGGCATCCTGAGAATACTGCAACTGTGCCCTGTCGGCAGCTCTTCCGGCCACTCATCAAGGGGCCTTGCAGCAAAGCATACCGAATGAGCATCTTCATCTCAAACAAAGCCAAGAAACTTGACGGGCCCTACTTTGTGGGAACTCCATCCTCGAGGGGCTGAGGTTGGGCCATTGGGCTCCACAGGGATACTCCAATTACAGGATTCCCTTATGGAATTGTGATTCTCTAGGACTCTAGGAGCGGGAGGCCCAGCGGGCGAGGAGAACAGCAGAGGTCAAATGCCAACAGCCCACGCCGAGCTTGGGGAAAACGCATGAACGACGTGTGCATGCAATCATTTGTGAAATCTTGTGAATGTTGCCGATGTGTGCCCTTGCGGAATCTTGCAAGCTCGGGCCTGAAGCGGCACTGAGGGTGCTGTCAGCACACACTGTCATTGCCATGTCCAGGCTTGGGTCCCCATGCCTGAGCTCACGACACTGAAATACACTGAAAAGCAAGAAATGCACTAAATTTACACAAGCTGCACACTCACCTCTCCCGCACATGGCTGCAACCCAGGAACTGCCACGTGTTGCTACGCTTGCGCATAGCATCCATTTTGGGCCTCCAGGAGAAAGAAACGGGGGGAGCAACTGGGAACACAAATCGGCGAGGTCCCTTCGTCTCAAACAGATACAAACAAGCAGAAATTGAAATGTGCAGAAACTGTTTTCAAAAATAATATTTTTGAAAACAAATAGAACATTTCTAACGATGTCTTCTCAAAGCACAGCAACACATCTCCCACAACTGAGATGCTCTACTTTCTAATGCCAACTGATGACTTACGGGGACGTTGGCCTGGTCAAGCAGGCTAATTTACTGTGATCCCCAGCAAAGAACAGCCTGGCCTGGAGAGCTGCGCGTGGCTTTGCCACGAGCCAGCTAAGAAGGCTGCAGAAAGGTAATGTTGCAACCCATCTACTCTCCGTCTGCCACAGGTGATGACGTTTTATCTTCGGTTTGACAAACACTAAGAGACCGGTGGATTGAATGAGATGCAAGAAAGCTGACAACAAAAATGCATGGGATCGTCCAGCACCCGCTGTAAAAATCAAAGGCGCATGCCCAAGCTGCCATCGCCACAGCCGCCTCGAAATACGAGTAGCATGACACTTGCGCACTTCAGCAAGAGCCGAGGTGGGAGCAAAGGCCCTCAAACCCAGCGTGTAGAATGTGTAGACGAAGCTTTCAGGTCTGCAAGTTGCCCTCGCTCACACGGGCATGTACAAAACATCTTGGCCTTGCTAGTCCTTGGCAGCCACTCAATTGAACGAACCACACTACTCTACTGTTGGAGGCAGTGTCTACGGCTTCCTCGTGCCGAGCTCCCTCACGTGGATCAAGGGCAGGGACAGATAGGTCTGCACACCGGGAAGTGGGGGGGGGGGGGTGCGAAGGGTCACAAACAACAAACAGCCTTCCCAGACCTTCGGAACACCCGCTTGTCAACCCGAAACGCGACAAACCGACAGATACCGTGCTCGTTTCTGTGTAGCACACACGGCGAGTGTTTTTAATTGCCCCACGACAGCAAATGCTCAGGAGGAACACAGGCGCCAACGAAAGCAACAGCAAGAAGCAGCAAACTAACGATGCAGAAGCAACATGAAGAAGCCGCGAACCACAAAAGATCAGCCGTAAGCTACACATGCTGAAAACCTGTAGCAGAGGCATCACGCATCATGCTTGGCCGCATGGGACACGGGCTTTTTTTGTGGAGAGGGCCTGCGCGCTTAGATGCGTGTTGGCACTACTCTGCGGCGGCTGGGAATTGATCTAAGCTTCTCGACTTGGGACAAATGCAGCAGCAATCTAATCTGACTCCATGGCAAGATTGAGATGTGCAGGTGTTTACAAAAATGTGTTGTATGAATGTAGCAACATGCTGGAACGATGCTACACTTGCCTAACTTTTCTCTCGCATCAGTGGTCTCCGAGACGGCGTGGCGCCCTCGCCGCAGCAGCAAGGGACTGCTCTGCCGCAGCAAAAGCGTCCTCGATTTCCGGGTCCAACCCACTGGCCTCACGCGCCATGCGCGCATGCAGCTCCCGTGCTTGGCGTCTTCTAGCCACTGCACGGTCCACGAAAACTGCAGCATTTGGCACAGGAGCTCCGCGCGCCCTCGCCTCTGCTAGGGTTCGGGAAATGTCGGCCAACAGCTCTTCATCTCCGTTCTCTTCCTGCCCTCCCTCCTCCTCCCGTGACAGGTAGGCTCGCACCTGTCGTGCCATGTCAGCCGCCTCGCGATCCCACCTAGCTTGCATCGCAGCAGCAGTCTCACCAACAGGTGGCGCACGTCGCAAGCGCGCCATCTCCTGCATTGCCGCTGCCATCGCTTGTTGCGGGGGTACTTCGCGCAAGACCTGCTCCAGTGGCCCCATCGGTAAACCCAAGGTCCGGGCCATGGTCCGAATTTGCTCCAACTCGCCCTGCCCATTGCTCGCACTGTCCCATGCCATAGGCATTGGCGCACCAGATTCCTCTATAACGGAATTCATTTGCACGGTGGTGTTGGTTACATCCGTTGCGTCTTTCTCGGTGTGCCGTCGCGCAACTCTCAGTACCGAGCCGGCAGCCAGGCCAGAGGTGCCCACAGAGTCACCGTCTTTGAGAATCTTGCCTTTGTGCAGCAGGTGTAGTTCGTCAGGATTCATTTGGAACTCGGAGCTGGCAAATTGACGAAGCTGTTCCACAGTGTCCGTTTCGCGGAACTCTGAGCGAACCTCCACACTGCTAGGGCCTTTAAAGTGGATCTCTATGGTCTGCTTTCCACTGTCAGGTTCTTGGCCTCCTGCATATCCAGAGCTTTGGTTCTCGCATTGCGCCCGTTGGGTGACAGGTTTACTCATGCCTTTGGCAATGTGCAGAATGCCACCTGTTTGGATATCGTAGCTTGCTAAAGCATCCTCGTCCTTTAGGACCTTGCCCTTGAAAATGACCTCCGCGCAAAGTGACACATGAGTCTTGGGCTGCGGCACTCTCATCCTAGAACATAACTAATGCAATCGAACCTCACACACACACACATCAACCCACCCACCCACCCACCCACCCACCCACCCACCCACCCACCCACCCACCCACCCACCACCCGCACGCGCACGTGCATGCGCACGTGCATGCGCACGTGCGGATGCACGTGCGCGTACGGCGTACGCAGACGCGCACAACAGCCGCACACAGAGAGCAAACCAGGCATTCCTATCTCGGGCCTTCATGACCTCCGGATCCATATCGCAGCCGGATGTGGCTGCGATCTTGACATCTTGTACTGTGGCCGAGGCTTCAACCTCGATGCTAAAGTCCACTCCGCCAGCGGCTTTGATCTGCAACGCCAGGGCCATTCGCAACACTACGTACGAGTCGTACACGTGACAATCTGTGGGGCAGAGATGGAGTACGACAACCAGCTGCGGGTTCAGGCGACCATCCACAAATCAAAAACAAGAAAACGTGTGAGCAATCACGGAGGAATACAAGCCACACAAGGATCCACACAACATTGATTCATGAACTCATTGTGCAGCTCGGCTACTGATTCCAAGTGGAACCAGCACATGTCTTGCGTTGTCTGTCTATGCATCATTGGCCATGCTTCGAAATTTGCGATCTGCCCTATGATCTCCCCGCCCTGCATGGTTTCATGATGCGCAATAAGAAGAAACTCATAGGTTTTTTACCGAGTCGCCCCATAGTCTGGTGGGGAATAACAAATTCTGACTATGTGCCTCGGCCTCCAGCCGCGATCAAACCCCCCCCAGCCGAGATCGCTTGGAGGAGCCGGAACCTCGCACAGAGCTCGAACCTTGCCTGGTCTGGGAGCCGCCCCCCCCGTCTGACCTTTACAGAAGCTCAGGGGCCCCGCAGCAATGAGCCTGAAGAAGGATGTGCTCGCAAACTTCCGACATGATATAAGAGCGGTACAATGACATGAGAGGACACGGAAAGGCTGGAAGCAAGGGCGCTGCAGTCCCAAGCATTGCGCAACATCTCAAAACAACTCGGATCAGTGAAAACGACTGTTCAAGCATGTGTTTTTTTGTCTCTCTCTTAGCCCCCCCGAAGGGGAGCGCCTCCTTGGGCTGTCGTGGGTGGCAAAACGTCCGATGTTAGGACAAAGCATTGCGTTTTCTTCTCTCGCTTTCTCCCTCTTCTTCTTCTATGGGGCTTGAGGGGAGTGACCCCCCCCCCCCCCCCCCCCGCACTCGAAGCGCTTTCTCCCTCTCTTCTTCTTCTTCTTCTTCTTCTCAGCACTTAGGAGTCCCCCCCGAAAAAGGAACCCTCTCTCTCTCGCTCTCTCTCTCTCTCTCTCCTGCACTCTCTCTCTCGCTCTCTCTCTCTCTCTCTCTCTCTCTCTCTCTCTCTGTCGTGCCATCCCCGAGAGTCTATGCAAGGGCACGAAAGCATTGACCCTAAACCCAAAATCGAGGGTAACCTCACCATCCTCGAAGCATCCTCCAACATATCCGACCCGGTCACACCGATTGCTCAGCCGAGCTGCGTACATAGCAACGCTACCTTGCCTAACCTGGCTAATCCTCGGTGCACAACCCTACATTAAAAATGAATGCCCGGACATGTTGACGTGGTGATACTACAAACGATGGGTGAATTCTCAGGTACTACTGCTGCTGCTGCACTCGCAAGTCAACAGCACCAATCTCTGAGAGGTAACGCTCGGCAACCTGTTTTCTTTCTCTACGTGGTCGGCTTCTCCCAAACCGATTCGCCAGTTTCCGAGTTCCAGTAGTAGTCCAGCCTGGCACTCTCTGTGAAACAAAGCTGCACAAGAACTGTGTGTCCCTTTCCTCCTTGCCTCATCTTCGCCTGACTCTCACCCTCTTAGAATGCATAACGCCGGCAAGGCCGGCATAGCTCCGAAAGTACCCAGTAGCACAGTCTAACTTCTGCTAAACGTCGGCACAAAAGCAAAGTTGACAAAAGTTGCAAGGTGCTCTACAAGAATGGGGCCAGAACCAAGATTTCAGCTCCGAGGATCCAGCTCTCCTCTCTCCTCTTTTCTCTCTGCCCCTTCCTTTCACTGCAGCTGAGTGGCTGGTACTCACTGCAGTGATGAACTTCCCAAGGGTGGGGGACTTGCTCAGCTTGCTGAGCTTTCTCTGCAGCTGGCGGAACGCTGCTCCTGACCAGAACAAAAGGACAAAGATGAACTGGTGGCTCATGATGATCGGCCATGCATGTGGCCGTCGGATCTTGAGTCCCATCCTCGCGAGCCCTAACGTTCTTACCTCAGTATAAGTCCTGAAGCAGACTGTTGAGTTGTCTTGCGGCATGGCCAGTAATCTACCCCTACAGAGGAAATGGAAAAGGTACAAAGGTGGCGCTTCTGGAAAGGAGCATAGTGGCTCTAGTAGTGGTGTATCACTTGTTAACTGTAGCTGGCTGTGCAGAGGAAGATCCTTCCCCTTGGCGTTCGCGAACGGTCGTCTGAGCTGTCCGCGGCTTGTCCACGGAATCCTTGCTGGGGCTGCCCTGGCATGTGTGGCTAGCGGCTAATGCTTACCTGAGCTCAATGGAAGCTGGCTACACTCGCCTTGCTGTGGACTTTGCCACTCTTGCTTTTGCCCTCTGTCACCACGATTTTCCCAGCCAGCAGTGTCTTTCTCCCAGCTAGTCTGGCCACTCTTCCAGCTGCTGCTATTGTTAGTGGTCCAGTCGTTACCACTCCAGCTGCTGCTGCCGCTCCAGTCGCTGTTCCAGTTGCCGCTTTGCCAGCTGCTTTGCTGTCCAGACCAGGTCTGAGCCTGCGGGACAAAAGCTGACTCTCAAGGAGTATGAAGTACTGACAAAAACCTGATGCCCAAGCTGCCCAAGCCTGACTGCCCTGGACCCGTGTCGCCTGCCTCAGGCAAAGGCAAGTCCGAGCTCAGTCTGGCACGGATCCAAAGGACTCGTGCGAGCCAGGGGCGGTCTGAGCGGAGCTGCTGGAACAGGCCACTTTCCTGCAACTTTTGCACAGGATCCGCCCAAACTATCGTTGCTGGCCACTGCATTTACAACAAACAGTCCGGCAGCGGGTGCGGCCAGCGCTGCCAGCCCAACAAGAGCAGCTGCCAAGGGGGGAGGCCGTCCTGACCACCCATGCTCATGGATGGACGCTGGTGCCCCTCACACAACCTGAGACGACCTGCATCGACAGAGCCGTCGGTACATCGATACTTATGCAACTTAAGCACAACTTTTTCACCGGCATGTTGGCTTTGCTTGAGAATGCCTGCGGGTCCAGGTTTTTTTTTCGTATTTTTCTGGTTTTTTTTTCGTATTTTCATGGTCTTGGGTTTAGGGTTTAGGGTTTAGGGTTTAGGGTTAGGGTTTAGGGTTTAGGGTTTAGGGTTTAGGGTTTAGGGTTTAGGGTTTAGGGTTTAGGGTTTAGGGTTTAGGGTTTAGGGTTTTTTTTTTCAGGGTTTAGGGTTTAGGGTTTAGGGTTTAGGGTTTAGGGTTCACCTGAAACCATAAAAAACACGAAAGAAAAAAAAACAGAAAAAAATACGAAAAAAGAACCATCAGCCAGAATGCCTGATCCTGCTTGGGCACATTGTAGTGTAGAACCGCAATGTGAGGATGGTGGCAGGCATCAAGATCATGAAGCCCAAGCTTAAAGCATTACTTTATGGCTTCCGCCGCTGCCGGAAAAAGAGCTTACCCCACCAAAGTCCTGCCGCACCACTGCTGGTGCCCCAGCCACAGCCTTGCCACCACAAAAGTAGGAAGAACCAGGTGAACCAGGCAACGGGCAAGCCACGGCCTCCAAATCCCTTGCCCTTGCCGCCCTTGACGCCCTTGCCCATTGGCCACATCCACCCCGCTTGCGTACTCCACGCCTTGCACTTGCATTCTGTAAGAACATGCACACATCACAAGACAGACGCCGCTACGGACCGCACGCCCACAGCACACCGTGTGTCGGTCCTGACTTTGCTGGTTTTGGTTCCAAACCTGTCCAGACAAGGCTTTTACCATGTGTGGCATTTGGCCCTTTGCAGGATGAGGTTGCGTTCAGATGGGCTTCCGGCAGGACATGGCAGGACACTATCTCCAATGTGCTGCAATCTTGATGCCCGCCTGCTTTGGCGGGGGGGCATTCTCTGGAGCAGGAGGTGGGCCCGTTCGCTGGCCAAAGTTCGAGTTCGCGGCCTTTTTGGGGCAGGTGGATAGACAGGTGACAGAAAACGTCTTTAGCTGAGGACGCCGCCCGGACGAGCAGGTTCACCTTTGGTCCACCCTGCATGGAAACGGTCCTGGCACCTCCAACCTGCGCCAAAACAAATCATCGAGACGTATGCAAACCAAGTGGAAATCTGGGGTCTGCGTAGCCTGTGGACAGGGGCCAAGGTGAAGCTGGGAGCATGGTCATGCGCCTGTCAACATTCCATGCCGCCAAGCCACCTTGGTGAAGGGTTGGATGAGGCCAGCATCCACCTTAGTTGAGGACCACCGGACACGGATGTCTTGCCGGGGGGGGGGGTGGTGGTGGGGGGGGGGGGGT